TTACCTGGGGAAAAAAAATAAAATAGCACAAACATTTGAATATACTGTGTGCAAAAACACTTAATATTTTAATTGTCTAGTCCTCAAGCTTCACAGAATGGATGTTATTTGTTGCATAATAAAATGATCCCACAAAGTTTGGAGGTTGTTTTACGATCTGAAACCTGTTTATCTGGTAAAATGGTAAATGTACAGGTGAATTTTTGGAATTCATCAGCATTTTTTTTGGTCGATCAATGAGAATGTTAATGTACAGGTTGTGTATAGGAAAAATTTTAAATGTCATCAAGTACGCTGTGATGAATTTAACTCCTTTGAAGTTGTCACTCTTAAAGTTGGAGGGCTGCAATCTATCATATTTGTTATAATTTATCGCCCCCCTAAACCAGCTGGAGGATTTTTATCAGAACTTCCTGAATTTTTATCTACTCTGGTTTTAAATTATGACAGAATTGTTCTTTGTGGCGATTTTAATATTCATGTTGATGACCCCACCAATGTTAATGCAACTGACTTTTTAAATATGGCCACTTCTTTTAACTTCAAACAACATGTCAAAGGGCAAACACATAACCGTGGTCATACACTGGACTTGGTTTTTACCCTGGGTGTCAGCATTTCCTCTGTGGAATTAGTGGACATGAACATATCTGACCACAGATGTATTGTTTTTAGCTGTGATTCGCCTGTTACTCATGCCACCTCACCAAGCTCCGTGTGTTCTCACGTCTTTAATGAACAAAGTGTTTCAAAGTTTTGCGCATTGTTTCAGATCCAAAGCCAACACCTGTCTGATTCCAACACCAACAATCTGGTCGATCACTTCAATCATATCTGCTTGTCGTCACTCAATATTACTGATCCTCTAAAGGTTAGGCCTACGTCTAAAGCTAGTAAGCAACCCTGGATAAATGACAGCATTCGCAGCCTAAAAAGGGAATGCAGGAAAGCAGAGCGCAGATGGAAAAAATCCAGTCTCCAAGTCCATTACCTCAGTCTGAAGGATTTATTAATTAACTACAATAACATGGTTAAGGATGCGAGAACACACTATTTTTCTGAACTCATTACTACACATAAACACCAGGTTTCTGTTTAAGACTGTGGATCAGCTGGTAAACCCAACCCCTCCTTGTGCCTCAGCTGGAAGTAATGATGACTGTGAATTGTTTTTATCTTATTTTACCAATAAGGTGGCGTCAATCAGAGCCTCTATTACCCCCGCGGCCTCTTACTCAGAGGTCCCTCACCAGCAACAAGAGAGTTTTAACCAGTTTTATCCCATCGACTTGTCTGAGCTTTTAAAAACAATATCACAATATCACAGAGTGTCCTCCAGCCCACTTGATGTAATACCTACAAAATTTTTACTGAAAGTAATAGATTCTGTTGGGCCCCATTTGATCTCTGTTTTCAACAGCTCCCTATCTACTGGTTGTGTCCCTGATTATTTTAAAACGGCTTGCGTGAACCCACTTTTAAAGAAACCTGGTTTAGATCCCTCCCTCCCACATAATTTTAGACCAATTTCAAAACTTTTATTGCAAAGATTCTAGAAAGAATTGTGTCCAAACAGCTGCTTACTGTGCTGGAAAATAACAAAATTATTTGAAAAGTTTCAGTCTGGTTTCAGGAAGTACCACAGCACTGAGACTGCCCTGCTTAAAGTCACCAATGACCTTTTAATGTCTGCTGATGAAGGTATGTGCTCAGTCCTTGTACTCCTGGACCTTAGCGCTGCTTTTGACACCATTGATCACAACATCATGTTAGACAGACTGAGGCACTGGGTGGGGATCTCTGGTACTGCTCTAGAATGGTTTTCATCCTACCTGTCAAATAGGAAGTTCTGCGTGTCTGTAAACAACTATGTCTCCTTGTTCTGTCCAGTTAAATATGGTGTGCCTCAGGGGTCGGTCTTAGGACCCATTTTGTTTTCCTTGTATCTGCTTCCCCTTGGACATATTATCCATAAACATGGCATTTCTTTTCATATTTATGCTGATGACACACAAATATACTTGCCCGTCAGATCCACAGACCCTGGAATGCTGAGTTCACTTAACGCCTTTGTGAAGTGAAGAAAAAATGGATGTCAAATAATTTCCTCCAGCTGAACTCAGACAAAACAGAAATCCTGGTCATTGGCTCCCAGCAGATGGCAAAACAAATACTGCCATCTGCTGGTTCCCTAGTAAATCACATTAAGCCTGTGGCAAAGAACTTTGGTGTTTGGTTTGATAGTAATTTAAATTTCGAGCAGCACACCACAAAGCTTGTTCAATCATGTTTTTATCAACTTAGAAATATAGCAAAAATTTGATCTATGTTAACTTTTAAGGACACCGAGACCATTTTACACGCCTTCATCTCATCACGCCTGGATTATTGCAACAGCCTTTTCACCTGTTTAACCCAAAAATCTATTGATCGACTCCAGACTGTCCAGATCTCAGCTGCCAGGCTTTTAACCAGAACAAAGAAATATGACCACATTACTCCTATTTTAGCTTCATTACACTGGCTCCCAGTATGTTTTAGAATTGACTTTAAAATTCTATTGATCACTTTTAAAGCTCTTCATGGCCTCTCGCCTTGTTATATTTCTGACCTTTTAGTCCCATACGCACCAGCACGTACCTTGAGATCCTCGGGCAGAGGTCTGTTGTCTGTTCCAGAGTCTCAACTGAAAACTAAAGGGGACAGAGCGTTTGCTGTCAGGGCCCCGAGGCTCTGGAACAGCCTGCCCGAGGAAATCAGGTCGGCTGAGTCAGTGAACTCTTTTAAGTCCCTTCTTAAAACATACTTTTATAGGAGAGCCTTTCCCGATCTTATTTGACTTTATTTTATCCCTTTTATTTTATTCTATTTCACTAATTTTATATTAAATTTTCATGCTCTTATCTTTTTTGTATTATTCTTTACACTTGTTAAAGCACTTTGTAACTTGTTTTTGAAAAGTGCTCTACAAATAAGGATTATTATTATTATTATTATTATTACTTTCAGAGACCTGCAGCGGCTGGGGGAGCTGCAGACTGAGCTGGCTGGAGCTGCTGATTTCTGTGCTACGTACCTGCGCTGCCAGCTGCTGCTCATGAAGGTAGGGGTATCTGTTGCTAACATTAGCATGAGTTAAGGAAACAGAACGGTTGTTCCAAAGTAAGGCCCTCGATGTCTTACCTTTGCCTCATTTTTTCAGGCTCTGAAGGAGAAGCTGTGGAGCATAGCGGTCCCTCTCTGCCTTAAACAAAACGTCACGGCCACAGCAGCAGCTCAACAGGTCAGCACACACACACACACGTGTTGGTATTACCACACCTGTGAAATCATTTAGGGTGACTTTTGTCTGTTAACGTGTGTGGTTGTGTTTGCAGATCTTAGAGGAAACCTATAAGCTGGAGTTTCTGTACAGCGGTTTGGACAGCAGACAGGTGGCCACTATACATCATGTTCGCCTTCAGGCCAAAGCGCTGCAGCTCATCCTGACTGCTCGCACCAGGCAAGGGTCAGTACAAACACACACACAAACACACACATTCAACACATACAAGTCTTCATGTGGAGTACATCTGTGTGCAGATGTTTCTTAGTTTGTAATTTCTCCTCAGGATGGATCCCCTCATCAGCAGCTGTGAGAAGTTTCTGCAGGACATTGAGTCGTTTCAGCGGTAAGATCTCTACCTGTCTTTCTATCTTTCAAACTATTAATTAGGACATTCAAGCTTTAATTTGTGAGTCAGAACATCCTCTGCTTTGTCTTGTCTGGTGATCCCTTGCAAGACAAAAGCAATGACAAGACATTTCTAGATGCAGAGGGTGGCACAACTTTCCTAAATGTCCGTGTTTTGTCTCTGATACATTTTGTTACATTCTTCCCTCTTCATTTTGTAAATATTTGACGTATTGGTTGAACCTGCTAATGAGCAACAGGAATGGTAGTCATTCACTGTCAGGAGGAGGGCAGAGTCTCACTGTTTTGTGGTTCCATGTAGACCTGCCAGTCTAACTGTCCAAGTCTCTGAAGCTCTCATCTCACTGTTTCTTCATTCCATGTTTCCTGCAACCCTCAGGCTCTTTCTGACGGAGCTGCCCCACCTGCAGGACAGTTTTGTGGATAAGCTTTTGGAGCTGATGCCCCGGCTGTCGTCCTGTAAACCAGTGGAGCTGGTGAAGATCCTCCAGACAACCCTGAGACAGAGTGGCCTGCTGCAGCTCAGACTGCCTGAACAGGTATAATGAGTAAACAAGTCACTGGAGGAAGGTTGTCTGACCACTGAGGCAGTACGCTCATGCAGTGTGTATCTGCAAATACACAGGGCAGGAGTGATAATTCTCGGACCAAGAGAGTTATTTTCACGTGAAGGAAATGTACACAGATATAAAAAAGCAGTGATGCACAGTTTGATCAACAGAATACCTTTTTGTTTTATTCCCCTGCTGGTTCACAGATCCATCGGGCGACAGCCAACATCATAGAGCCGACAGGGGAGTCTGACAACCCGCTGAGGTTCACGTCGGGCCTGGTGGTGGCGCTAGACATTGACGCAACACTGGAGCACGTCCGCGACCCCCAGAACACAGTCAAAGTACAGGTCAGTTTGATCTAACTAACTACTTGATGTTTTGGGATTTGTTCAGGTCTTCAGCGCTCCTTTGTCGACTGTAGCACAGCTGTTCAGTATTTTTTCAATATTCAAAATTAGTTTGGGGTGACAAATAAAATCAGGATATGCCTTCTGATAAACGTGCGTTTTTAAGAGATTTAAAAGAGGACACTGATTCTGAGAGCCTTATTTCCTCTGGCAGGACGTTCCAAAAGTAATAAGATAATATCTTAAAGTCAATCCCAAAACAAAGCATATAGAACAATTTCTGCATCTCTAAAATGTAAAATATACCTAATTTTAACAATATCTCTGAGCTGACAAAAACAAGAGTGGACAAGTTTAGTTACGTGTTGCCTGAAACATAAATTTCTGTCGAATAAAATACAAAGATTTCTGGAAACAGGCTTTATTGTGTTGCGACAGGTGACAAGCAGATGAGGTGTTGCAGAACAATAACAAGGATTTCTGTTTTGTTAAAATAAAACATTTTTATCATGTAATATTACATGGACATAGTTTTATAAAACTACCTCACACACTCTTCACATGTGAATAATTTTAATTGCAGTAAAAATATACATAATATTCAACGCATAGCTCAGTGCTGCTTTGGTCCCAGTGAAAGTCAGTGTTGAATGCTGGTTTTAAGGACTTAAATCCTGTGGAAAACCCTGAACTGGATCTCTGGGGGGGGGGTTAGTAATGAGACTTTCTTCTACTCTTAAAGTTACAGATTTTTGCAACTGGCTGATCATCAGTGTTCATTGTTGCTAAAACCCTTTGCTGCTTGCTCACTCGCTCTGAATATGAACACCTGCTGTCTCTGCAGGTTCTGTATCCAGACGGCCAGAGTCACGTGATCCATCCTAAACCTGGAGACTTCAGAAAGCCTGGACCAGATAGACACAGACTCATCACACAGGTTTACCTCTCGCACACCGCATGGACAGGTCGGTGTAACTCTCACACACACATCTGAGGTTCCTGCTTTAGGGACATTTTTAAATGCTTTCATCTCCATCTGCTCTTAATTGGGGATTAAAGATTAATCAAGAAGCAGAGTTAGGGATTCGGCTACATATCGAACTCAGTGCAGCCGTCCAAAAAAAGATCTTTCCAACTTTCTCTCTCCTGTGCCTGTAGCTTCAGTGTGTCTGCTCGCTATAGTCCCCAATCACATTCCTGTTTCAATTTAACACCAGCATTAGCTACCAATGCTACTTGTAACTAGCTCCTAGCTCATTAGAATAATATCCAATTGTTTAAATTGAGTAAAAAGAAAGTTTTGTATCGGATTTTAGATTATGTATCTAGGTAGGTATGAAATTTGAGAGGGAGAAGCCCACAACTCAAACCTTTAAACTTATCTATGAATTCAGTTTGACATTGTTTCCTCTCCGTCTTTGTCTCCCAGAGCCGTCTCAGATTGAGGTGCGTCTCCTGCTGGCCTACAGCTCCTCCTCAACCTCCCTCTCCTCGGCTTCCAAGCTCGGGTGGAGCGACAGCATCGACGCCCTCCCGCCACCAGAAGCCACCGTGGAGGGAACCATTCCGTTCAGCAAGTCCGTCAAAGTCTTCATCATGCCCAAACCTGCGCGACGCTAACAAGACTCTCTTCAGCTTTCACATGAAACAGTTTCTTGGATTGTTTTTATTTTTGGATCAGGACTGAAACAAGTCAGCCATGTTGAGTTAATTAGTGTTAGCAGTGTCATTGCATATTTACATTCACAATAATAATAACTAACAATAACTGACCTGAATTAAAACTGTACAGAAAAATACATAATTTTTAATTTGGCCAAGCAAAAATAATTCATGGTTAAGTCGTAGGAAGCACAAGAGTTTTGTTTTTTTCCTCCTCGTGGTGTGTCAGGGATATTTTTGGACAATTGTTTCTTATAAAGACAAACCCATGTGATGGAGATGATTCATTTTCTATGTTGTGTAGCAAACAAACAAAGTTTTCACCTCATTAAAAAGTGGACTTTACTGTACATTCATTATGTTTTACTTTATATTTATCTGTCTCTTTTACCTGACAGTGGTCCGTGTACTTTTACATTCCACAAAATTGGCCTCTATAAAGTAAAATCTACCTGTACTATATATTCACTTTGATCTAAAAGTGATGTTTGAAATTATATCAATGACAAACTGAACTCCCTGTTTAGACAACACTTCAGGATGAAGGTCTCTTCATCCTGTGTAAGTGCAGCTGAGTCAAATATGCCAAGGCCTTCTGAAGTGCATTTCTCTAGGAATTCGTTGATTTATACAGCTGAAATAGAGGCTTGCTCTCTTCAAATTGAACGATGTTTCAATCTTACCCTAAATCAGTTGTCTGTAGCTGAGACAGGATGAGAGCTAGAAGAGATAATCAGCTATACATATTGCAAAACAGACTGTGGGCAGTGGTGCACCACAGGCTGTCCCCATCTTCTGTAGGTCATCACAGTTGGTGCAGCGAGGGGCAAGGGGGGAATCATCAACAGGTGGAGTGGAAGACCCCGCCCACCTTGGCGCCCTGCCCAGCCAGTTTGTTGTATTCAGCGACGGCCTTCTCCGTCTGCAAGACTCTGACGTCGACCCCTTTCTGTTTCACAAAGTCCAGAGTGGAGGAGGGAACCTAAGAGAAGAGACGGCACAAACAAGTCTAATCTGATAATGCAGTAAGCCTCATCAGTAGGAATTCTCAATGCATACTTGACATTGAAGTAGAATCACAGACTGTATATAAAAGTTCTGTTTTACCTGCAGAGCTTCACTCATGCCTCTGCCGATGACCAGCAAGTCTATTCCCTTCTTCAGCACCTCCTCCAGGTCAGCAGGCTGTACTCCTGGGTAATGCTGCGGAGCGAAAAGCAAAATAATATATATCTCTATTTCTCTCTCTCTCTCTCTCTCTCTCGAGATATCTCTCTCTCTCTAGAGATAGATATAGATATAGATATATGGTTCCACTCACATCGGTCCCAGTCTCTCTCCAGTCCCAGGCCCGGCTGCCTCCAGGCCAGACCTTACAGTCCTTGTAGCTGGAGGAGCATCCTTTCACCTTCATGTGGCCCCAGGAGAGAGAGGCGATCTCTGGAGAGGACATGTTACGGGAGGATACCTGCTGTGAGACGAGGTTGAGACACAGACGTAACATGATGACTCTGTGCAGAGTAATGTACACGTTAGTTCCAGCAGGGCTTGAAAATCCTTTTAAAGGCCTCTCATTCACACACACAGCAGAGAGCCACCATGCAAGGTGCTGGAGCAATATGGGCTTCAATGTCTTGCCCAAGGATACTTGATGACATGTGGGAATCATGGACAACTTCTCTACCTCCTGAGCCACATCTTTTCAGACTGTACCATTTCAACTCTGAAGCATATCAGATTGCGCAATAAATCTCCAGTAAACTGCAGAACTACAATGTAAAAAGAAAAAGCAAGCAAACAAACTATCAACACTGTTCTTCTATATGCATCAATCTGAAAATACAGCAAAACTAAATACAAGCTTTGGCCATAACTGAACTAAGGAACTGTAACTTTATTCAAAATGAGTGTTTATGTTTTGGTAAGTTTGAAGACAAGGTCTCTTAACAACGGTCACGCTGTGAGAGATTTTGACCGACTTTTAAACACAGTAATTCTCTGCGTCTGCCTTACAGTTCGTTCTTGTTTGATGGAACAGATTAAAAACTATTAGAAAGGGATCTGCAATGCAAAACCATTCAGCTCTACTCAGATACAGACACCGACTTCACTCAACTTTCAGCACTTCTGTGGTGATTCAAAACCACAGATTCACTGTGAACATGTGACCAGATGAACTAGTGACCTCTTCAGTCTCATCACAACCAAAAAAAAAAAAACCCATCAGTACTCATCAGCAAGAAGTTACCAGCCCTTTCGGTCTTTACGTTGTTTTGGATATAAAAATCTATGAAAACTACAGAACTTTAATATTGTACGTTGTGGCTCAGAGAATTAGCATGTAAACTGCTTATAAACAGAGTGTATGTATAACCTCTAAATATCCGAAGTGGTTTACCATTTACCAAACTCCACAACAGACTTGTTATACTTATTATGCAAGTGACATTTCCTGAGGTACAACTTTAAATAACTTTTTTCTTGTCACGTCGTGAATGTGACACTACAGTGATTGTGATTACCGACTAGAATAACGCTGCCCAGACAGATTAACACACACCACCTTATAATTTGAGTTATTAAGGTATTTTTATCATTGAACACAGAGTGGGGGGTGCACCGGTCCTGGAGATACTGCAATACCAGGTCGATGCGTGGAGTGGACGGAGCAAGACCCTATTCCATCTCCCTACTCCAAAAATCAATTTAATATATGGTCCCCGGGTAGGGGACGTATCAGATATTAAACTGATAAGAACAGATACTACACTTGATCTTAGCCAAAAGGCCGAGAAGCGATAACGTGATGACGTCGGAGGCAAAGGCCTCATTCACCGCACACTCACTTTCACTGAGGGTGGAAAAGCTGCGGGACACTTTAAGGACAGTCGGCAAATAAGAGCAGCAAAGGACAACGAGCGACAGTCGAGGAAAATGTCACGGAGTCGCTACAAATAATGTTATTTAGAAGAAAGAAACGAAAATAAAGTGGCGCCTCGACGCTTCCGGGTCACGTGGAGGGCCTTCTAATCCAATCAGAATTTAAAGCAGTAGACTCTCAACAACGTTACAATAATACAAACAACTGTGCGTATTTTACTTTAATGTTAATTCTAAGAAACAAAGAGCTTTCATAACATTACAGAGTCCTCTGCGGGTGAAGAAACGGTTTGCTTTTTACGACATAGCGTCTGTTTTCAGAAACAAATGGAGCTCCGACAGTCGCAAGAGACTCTGCTCCCAGTGTGACAGAGGACATGTAGAGACAGAGCTGCACTTTCTAACCTCATGCCCTAAATATAAAACACAAAGACAAAAACACTTTGCAAACATTTCCCAAATATACCCCGAATTCGAATTCATATCACACAGAAACTCCCCTATTTACTGGGAGAAATGCCCAAATGTGAAATAATTGCTGCTCCTCATGCCATGAAGTGAGGACAACCAGTGGAACCTCAGACTAACAAATAACTGTACAGATTTTCAAATTATTATTTTGATCATTTGATATTTTAGTAATTGTTTTGATACTGATTTCTTTTCTTTTCTATTATTATTTTTTAATTAATTAATTTTTTGTCTATTAATATATACACACTGTTTCATTTATTTATTTTATTTTTTTTATATTTTTGTAGTTTTTTTAACACACACACACTTAACGTTTTATTTATTTAGATTTTAATAGTTTTTTTAAACACGCTTACTGTTTTGTTTATTTATTTTATTTTTAATATATTTTTATTTTTTCAACACACACTTACTGTTTTATTTATTTTATTTTAATTTTTAATATATATATTTTTCTTTTTAAAACACATACGCTTTGATTACTTTACACTTGCTGCTTCTTTTACGTGAGATCAGATTTCTTCCTCCACCGGATTATAACGTGTATAAAATAGTTAATGCAAATGTTAACTGCCAGTGTTTTTATCCGATGTGACTAATTCGAAGTCTTCGCAGTGATTTATAACTAAGTTCAGACACTGATTAGGTTTTAATTGAACATCATGTCGGGGGAGAGCGCGAACGCAGTCCCCACTACCACAAATTATGCAGTTGAGATTCCCGCATTTGGGGAATTCACAGGCGTCAGCAGCAACCTGGTTGTGCAATGGTTGAGCCTCATCCTGGGTGAACCACCTTCTTGATCATGGTGTCTCCCCTGCCAGGTAAGTATGACTCGTTCCTCTCAGACACGAGCGCCTCTTTCTGGGAGGAACCGCTTTCTGTCACGGTTGTAGCTGAATAAACCCGCGACACCAGAAATCACCGCGATTACAGCCTAAAATAATCCCAGGAATCTCCTTTAGAGATGCTTGGAGTAAAAGCGCTGTGGAAACGTGATATTAAACGGGTTTTATAACCTTTTTATTAACGTTATGTACTGGAAATTAAGCCTGCAGCTCTACTGGAGGACAGATCCATTCAAAAAAACAACACATCACCAGTTTGTAGTAGCTAAACAGTGTTGAGCTGGACACAAAAACACAAATATCTGCGTTAAACTTACCAAAGTGACCAGTAATCTCGATTATACGACGATCATCTTTCACAAATATTAGTGTACAACTTCCGCATTGGACGCTGAGTAGGTAATGAACTGCGCATGCGCCAAAAACAATGCTCCAGTGTTCAGAGGAAGAGAAAAACTAGTTTGATCAGTTTTTACTGGTCAATATAATCTATTTTTGTTGGACTCAAATTATGTGACTAGAACACAATCTTACACATCTAAATATTTTTTAAATCTCCCGCGACTCTTCTCACGGTGACGAACTGAGCTGCAGCGCCCTCTGCTGGGTAATTAAGAGCCTTCACAGTTCCTCTTAGCAAAAACAATCTTCCCCAAAGTGCTGAAGTTGTCACGAATATCCCATCGTGTTTGTTCGTACACGGCTAAGTAATGTGAAAGTTTTACTAAACACAAAACAACAACTACCGTTAGCGGGAAGCGGCCGTTGCCACTTAACTCCAACGTTAACTGAAATATGCATCAAACACCTTTGAATACACGGGAATAAATGTTGATTCGTCCACACAGTCGATAAAACTATCTAGTTGCCAGACTTTGCTGAAGCTTTGTTTGCTTCAAACTCCTAAAATATACTGATATTGTTGGCATGAGAGGAGTCTGACATTACAAAATAAGAACAGGTAAATAAACCTACCCCAACACGTCCTGACGCCCAAAACACACCTTTAAACCAGGTAATAATCATCTCCGACTCCTCAGAAATCTGCAGTGATGAAGGTCAGAGGTCGCGTTATGCAAATGAGCTCCACACCGCCTCCAATGAGTCGGTCAGCTCGTTCAGTAATTTGTTTGATGGTTGATGGAACAGTTTACTCACGGGGACAAAACTGGCTGTTTATTTCTGATTTTTGGACGCAGCACCGCTCACTGAACAGATCTCTGCCTCACTGCCACAAACAACTGTCTCCACCTGCTGGCATGTAAAGCCGTCTGCTCCCAGCGCTGTTCCACAGACTTCTATTCCTGTCATCATCACGCATAGACCAGTAAACCGAAATGTGCACATCCCACACAGAAATAATAGTAATCTCTTAAGGATTAGGACAACTGCACCAACTCCAGCACCCAGAACAAACTCATTTAAAATGGCTCTCTTCAATGTGAGATCACTTTCAAGTAAGACTTTTATCTTAAATGATTTTATCTTGTCTGCAAATCTAGATTTTATGTTTTTAACTGAATCCTGGTTACAAACTACTAAATTCTTTATTTAAAAAAGGGACAGCGTACAGTAAAACAAATGTTACCATTTGATGCACTGTACCATCTCCAGTCCCTTGGCAGGTCATAGTTAATAACAATACAATAATAAATACATTTGCTAAGGCTGACACGACCCCAAGCCACATAGCTCAGCCCCAGCAAACCAACAGCACACAAAGTTACATAAACACACAATTAAATTAAAAGCAGGTTCAGAATCTCAGATAAAAAATCTGGATCAGTGATTGCAAAGCTGAGTAGCTTTTAAACTGCCATTTCAACTTTGATTTAAACATACTGATGGAGTTGCTGCTCCTTACATCGTCAGACAGGTTGTTCCACTGGTTTGTGGCTTTTACAGAAAAAGCAGACTGGCCAAATGCAGTACGCAGTGATGAATTTGCCTCTTTTGAAGCTCTCTCTTTTAAAGTTGGTATCATATTTGTCATAATTTATCGCCCCCCAAAACCATCTGGAGGATTTTTAGCTACACTGGTTTTAAATTATGACAAAATTGTTCTCTGTGGTGATTTTAATATTTATGTTGATGACCTCACAAATGTTTATGTAACTGACTTTTTAAATATAACCACTTCTTTTAACTTCAAACAACATGTTAAAGGGCAAACACATAACCGTGGTCATACACTGGACGTGGTTTTTACCCTGGGTGTCAGCATTTCCTCTGTGGAATTAGTGGACTTGACCATATCTGACCACAAACGTATAGTTTTTAACTGTGAATCACTAGTTACTCAATCCGCCTCACCAAGCACTTCCTGTTCTCGCATCCTTAATGAACAAAGCGTTTCAAAGTTTAGCACATTGTTTCAGAGCCAGAGCCAACACCTGACTGATTCCATCACCAACGACTTGACTGATCACTTCAATCATATCTGCTTGTCATCCCTAAATACTATTGCTCCTCTAAAGGTCAGACCTAAACCTACAGCTCGTAAGGAGCCCTGGATAAACAACGGCATTCGCAGCCAAAAAAGGGAATGCAGGAAAGCAGAGCGCAGATGGAAGAACAGTCTCCGTGTCCATTACCTCAGTCTGAAGGATTTATTAATTAACTACAATAACATGGTTAAAGATGCGAGAACAAACTACTTTTCTGAACTCATTTCTACACATCAACATAATCCTAGGTTTTTATTTAAGACTGTGGATCAGCTGGTAAACCCAACCCCTTCTTGTGCCTCAGCTGGAATTAATGATGACTGAATTGTTTTTATCTTATTTTAATGATAAGGTGGTGTCAATCAGAGCCTCTATTACCCCCTCAGAGGTCCCTCACCGGCAACAAGAGAGTTTTAACCAGTTTTATCCCATTGACTTGTCTGAGCTTTTAAAAACAGTATCACAAATGAGAGTGTCCTCCAGCCCACTTGATTTAATACCTACAACATTTGATCTCTGTTTTAACAGCTCCCTATCTACTGGTTGTGTCCCTGATTATTTTAAAACTGCTTGTGTGAACCCACTTTTTAAAAAAAACTGGTTTCCCTCCCGCCATCAAACTTCTAGACCCATTTTAAAACTGCCTTTTATTGCAAAGATTTTAGAAAGAATTGTGTCCAAACAGCTGCTCACTGTACTGGAAAATACCAACTTATTTGAAAAGTTTCAGTCTGGTTTCAGGAAGTACCACAGCACTGAGACTGCCCTGCTTAAAGTCACCAATGACCTTTTAATGTCTGCTGATGAAGGTATGTGCTCAGTCCTGGTACTCCTGGACCTTAGCGCTGCTTTTGACACCATTGATCACAACATCATGTTAGACAGACTGAGGCACTGGGTGGGGATCTCTGGTACTGCCCTAGAATGGTTTTCATCCTACCTGTCAAATAGGACGTTTTGCGTGTCTGTAAACAACTATGTCTCCTTGTTCTGTCCAGTTAAATATGGTGTGCCTCAGGGGTCGGTCTTAGGACCCATTTTGTTTTCCTTGTATCTGCTTCCCCTTGGTCATATTATCCATAAACATGGTATTTCTTTTCATATTTACACTGATGACACACAAATTTACTTGCCCGTCAGATCCACAGACCCTGGAATGCTGAGTTCACTTACCGACTGCCTTTGTGAAGTCAAAAATTGGATGTCAAATAATTTCCTCCAGCTGAACTCAGACAAAACTGAGATCCTAGTAATTGGGTCCCAGCAGATGGCAAAGCAAATACTGCCATCTTCTGGTTCCCTAGTGCATCACATTAAGCCTGTGGCAAAGAACCTTGGTGTCTGGTTTGATAGTAATTTAAATTTTGAGCAGCACACCACAAAGCTAGTGCAATCATGTTTTTACCAGCTTAGAAATATATCTAAAATTCAATCTACGTTAACTTTTAAGGACACCGAGACCATTTTACACGCCTGGATTATTGCAACAGCCTTTTCACCTGTTTAACCCAAAAATCTACTGATCGACTCCAGACTGTCCAGAACTCAGCTGCCAGGCTTTTAACCAGAACAAAGAAATATGACCACATTACTCCTATTTTAGCTTCATTACACTGGCTCCCAGTATGTTTTAGAATTGACTTTAAAATTTTATTGATCACTTAAAGCTCTTCATGGCCTCTCGCCTTGTTATATTTCTGACCTTTTAGTCCCATACACACCAGCACGTACCTTGAGATCCTCGGGCAGAGGTCTGCTGTCTGTTCCAGAGTCTCGACTGAAAACTAAAGGGGACAGAGCGTTTGCTGTCAGGGCCCCGAGGCTCTGGAACAGCCTGCCCGAGGAAATCAGGTCGGCTGAGTCAGTGAACTCTTTTAAGTCCCTTCTTAAAACATACTTTTATAGGAGAGCCTTTCCCGATCTTATTTGACTTTATTTTCAAATTCTTTTAATAAATATTTTATCTTTATTTTAAACGTGTATTCTAGTCTTATAAGTGTTTTCTTGTTTTTAGCATGTAATTGTTTTTATGTGTTTTCTTGTTTTAAAACTTTGTAACTGGTTTTTGAAAAGTGCTCTATAAATAAAGATTATTATGATTATTATTACCTTCAAATAAAAATAAAATCAGTAAAATGATGACATCAGTATTACTGAAAGTACACTATATACACATCATATCCTTAATGTTACCCATGGGGGTCCCTCCTACGGTTCGGACTCTGGGCACGGCTCAGATGACCTCACGGCAAGCCGTCCCACTTCTGACACCATATGTGGACAAAGGCGAGAGCGGTCACCCTGCCCAGATTCAAACACAGGTCTACAGGGTACCAAACATGCAACTTTGACAGCAACGTATGGCAGTCCAAGCGCTTACTCAACTGTAGTGAAGGTACTCCGTCACAAGCATGCACTACAAATGGTGGAACCAAACTGAAACTGAAAAATGTCACAATCCTTATCCTTGGTCGGTTATCTTTGAGTAGGACTGCAGACACTATGGGATTTGGAAACTGCTTTATCACAAAGCATCTGTGGAAGGGAAAAGGACATATGATGTCTATATCAAAGCAATATTACCACTAATTAATTAATAACCATTGACTGATTTTTAATTTTGTTTAAAGTTGCTGACACAGTATGACATTAAATATGACATTCAGGTGAAATGGTTTTTCACAAGGGACCCCTCCCAGTTAATGCTCAGTTCTTCCATTACAACATGATCAAAAACATTACATAAACACTACTGTACATTCAGCCAAGGAGCTGTATATGATAAAATGTTATTAAACAGGTACAACAACTAACACAAACATTCAGATTTGCTTAACAACTGTTCTGTCTATATGTCATTTCACATCAACACAGCAGTCAATTTGTGAAGTACAAAAGTTGCCAATTACTTAATGTATAAAAATATGTTTTGCTGTAAAAACAAAGACAAGAAACCAAACACAACATATCAAGCCTTGTAAGTGAAAGTAACAATGTGCCGCTTATGTTTAAAGTGAAATTATACAGAAGTTGTTCTAAATTTGTACAAAATACCACCTGATATTGATAGACCACACCTGTGAGTTAGTGACCACAGCAAAAATATCTCACTGTCTACAACATAATCTTTTAAAATCAGGTTTTTCTGAAAAATGGTACTTTTGCCCCTGCTCTCAACTACTAGTTCTACATACAGTACCTTCAGTATCTAAATCTGATAATGCAGTAAGCCTCATCAGTAGGAATTCTCAATGCATACTTGACATTGAAGTAGAATCACAGACTGTATATAAAAGTTCTGTTTTACCTGCAGAGCTTCACTCATGCCTCTGCCGATGACCAGCAAGTCTATTCCCTTCTTCAGCACCTCCTCCAGGTCAGCAGGCTGTACTCCTGGGTAATGCTGCGGAGGGAAAAGCAAAATAATATATGAACAATATCATGACAGTTAAAGGGGAAACCCCAGCGTGCTCTGCTAAGGCCTGTTGCTTATAAAGTGTCTGTCATATTGTGTTGCCAATGTAAATTCTTGTACATGTACAGTATATATATTTTATTATGGCATGCCGTTTAGGAAATATAATATATATATATGAAGTTTGTCCGTCTGAATATATGGAATGAAATCATCATCATCAGACGTGATTAAGGCACTGCCGCCATCTTGTGTTTTTGATGTGATTAATCCGTATGGATGTAATTGTGACACTATTTGGAGCATTGAAGAGATTACAAACACACTAGCAAATGCATGTACAAGCCATAATACTGGGAACCATATCCAGTAGTTCTCCTGATGAAATAATTTATTCTCTTTCATCGTGGAAGACCGAATGCAGGAAACCTCCCAGGACAGGCAGTTCCCGTTTAACAGGCAAACAAGCCTTCAACCTCACAGGTGCCCCCACAACAGCTTAAGTTAGTTTGCATCCGAATTCATCTTTTAAACACCAAAGTCACAGAAAAAATAACTTGGCAGCGGCAACATTTTTTGTCAATGGAGTTTGAAGAGAGCGATATAACAGCTATTTCTGGTTAAACACAGGATCTTACCCTTTAAAAAGTTACTGCCTGAGCCCTTTTGGGTGGACATACGAAGATTGTATATAGGGGTTGTTGTGGGGGGCACCTGTGAGGTTAAAGGCGTATTTCAGTTTGCCTGATAAACGGGAACAGCCTGGCCTGGGAGGTTTCCTGCATTTGGTCTTCCACGATAAAAGAATACATTTCTAGATCAGGAGAACGGTACTGGATGTGGTTTCCAGTATTTTGGCTCATACATGCATTCGCCAGTGTTTTTATAATCTCTTCATTGCTCAAAACGTCGTTGGACACTTTCTTGCTGATTCACTAAAAGTGTCACACTTCACATCAATGACGTCAGATTTCATTTCATATATTCAAACTTTCATTCACTATATTCAAGATAGATCGATAGATAGAGTACAGGCCAAAAGTTTGGACACACCTTCTCATTTTTTCCATGACTATGAATGAACACATGTGGAATTATGTACTTAACAAAAAAGTGTGAAATAACTGAAAACATGTCTTATATTCTAGTTTCTTCAAAGTTGCTGATTACTGCTTTGCACACTCTTGGCGAGCTTCAAGAGGTAGTCACCTGAAATGGTTTTCCAACAGTCTTGAAGGAGTTCCCAGAGATGCTTAGCACTTGCTTAGCCAGCTCACCCCAAAACAACTCGATTGGGTTCAGGTCCGGTGACTGTGGAGGCCAGGTCATCTGACGCAGCACTCCATCACTCTCCTTCATTTTAACTTACTTAAGCTATACATGTCAGAGGTCAGACTAGGGGTTAAGTGTCTTGCTCAGGGACACAATGGTGGATATCTCACAGTGGGAAATGAACCCGGGACTCCCACACCAAAGGCAAGTATCTTATCTATGCGCATATCAACACCTCCTTCTTGGTCAAACAGCCCTTACACAGCCTGGAGGTGTGTTTGGGGTCATTGTCCTGTTGAAAAATAAATGATGGTCCAACTAAACGCAAACCGGATGGGATGGCATGTCGCTGCAGGACGCTGTGGTAGCCGTGCTGGTTCAGTACGCCTTCAATTTTGAATAAATCCCCAACAGTGTCACCAGCAAAGCACCCCACACCATCACACCTCCTCCTCCATGCTCCACGGTGGGAACCAGGCATGTAGAATCCATCCGTTCACCTTTTCTGCGTCACAAAAGAGACGGCGGTTGTAACCAAAGACCTTAAATTTGGACTCGTCAGACCAAAGCACAGATTTCCACTGGTCTAATGTCCATTCCTTGTGTTTTCTTGGCCCAAACAAATCTCTTCTGCTTGTTGCTTCTCCTTAGCAGTGGTTTCCTAGCAGCTACTTGACCATGAAGGCCTGATTCGCGAAGTCTCCTCTTAACAGTTGTTCTAGAGATGTGTCTGCTGCTAGAACTCTGTGCGGCATTCAGCTGGTCTCTAATCTGAGCTGCTGTTAACCTGCGATTTCTGAGGCTGGTGACTCGGATGAACTTATCCTCAGCAGCAGAGGTGACTCTTGGTCTTCCTTTCCTGGGGCGGTCCTCATGTGAGCCAGTTTCATTGTAGCGCTTGATGGTTTTTGCGACTGCACTTGGGGACACATTCAAAGTTTTCGCAATTTTCCGGACTGACTGACCTTCATTTGTTAAAGTAATGATGGCCACTCGTTTCCCTTTACTTAGCTGATTGTTTCTTGCCATAATATGATTTCTAACAGTTGTCCGATAGGGCTGTCGGCTGTGTATCAACCTGACTTCTGCACGACACAACTGATGGTCCCAACCCCGTTAATAAGGGAAAGAATTTTACTAATTAACCCTGACAAGGCATACCTGTGAAGTGAAAACCATTTCAGGTGACTACCTCATGAAGCTCATTGAGAGAACACCAACGGGTTTCCAGCGCTTTCTAAAAAGCAAAGGGTGCCTACTTTGAGGAATCTAAAATACAAGACATGTTTTCAGTTATTTCACACTTTTTTGTTAAGTACATAATTCCATATGTGTTCATTCATAGTTTTGACAACTTCAGTGAGAATCTACAATGTAAATAGTCATGAAAATCAAGAAAACACATTGAATGAGAAGGTATATGTATATATTTCAGTTTTACGGTTCCACTCACATCGGTCCCAGTCTCTCTCCAGTCCCAGGCCCGGCTGCCTCCAGGCCAGACCTTACAGTCCTTGTAGCTGGAGGAGCATCCTTTCACCTTCATGTGGCCCCAGGAGAGAGAGGCGATCTCTGGAGAGGACATGTTACGGGAGGATACTTGATGACATGTGGGAATCATGGACAACTTCTCTACCTCCTGAGCCACATCAAAACTAAAAACAAGCTTTGGCCATAAATGAACTAAGAAACTGTAACTTTGTGTTTTGGTTGGTTTGAAGACGTTTTGAAAACTTTTAACACAAGCTGTCTAAGTCCTTTGTGTTTGCCTTGATGCTCTCTTTATGTTGTTTGGCCACAGCACAAGCACATAATGAGAGATGATGGATTCATTAATGTCAAGTAGCTGAATTATATATATAAGCTTCTGTCATCCTTTGTAAAATTTTGAAAATGTTTTGCAAACTAATGTACTGTTCTGTCATTGTCTTGTTTTTATGATGAAGAAGACAACAGTATGCCACTGTTCTCTTCTCTAAAGCACGACAGGTGCATCTAAAAAAAATTTAGACTATTGTGGAAAAGTAAATTTTCTTCTGTAATTTCATTAAAAAAGTAAAATATTCATATTTTCTAGATTCATTACACATAAAGTGATATATTTCCTTTTTTTTGTTTTAACTTTGGTGATTAAGACTCACAGCTCATGGATATCAAAACTCCCGTATCTCAAAATGTATTTATTTATGAATTCATAATATAGAAATGTCAACTAAAGGAGAGCTGTAATCAGCTAATGAACTCAAATCACCTGCAGAGGTTTCCATTAATGGGTGGCAGTAGATCAGTCTATAAAAACTTGGCATGGAAATCTGAGGGTCACCGATTCGAGTCCAGCTTGGACCAAAGATACGGAGTGTGGACTGGTAGCGGAGATGTTAAAGGGCAACTCCATTCAGTTTTTTTTAACCAAGGTCTCTTTTATTTTCAGATATAACAAACAAAGGGAATACAATTCACACATGAAATAGTCAAATCTAGTTCCTGTCCATACAAACAAACCACCCCAGTACCCCCCACCCAAAAGTACCGGACCCCCAGAAAAATTCCATACATCCCGGCAGATTCATACATATATAATTAAAATAAGTAGGTAAACAAAGAAAGAGACAACATCAATAAATAATAACAAACGCACAAACCAACCGACGAGAAAAAAACCAAAAACAAAGGTATGCACACATGATTGGGTTACATAGATATGTTAGTAGCTGCCATGCCTTCTACGAAGGAAATAAATGGCTGCCAAATGACAGAATTTTCTAGTGGACCCTCTTACAGTGTATCTCATTTTTTCTAAGTGAACATAACTCATGACCTCCCTAATCCATTGGCCATATGTTGGGGGGAAAGCATCTTTCCATTTAAACAGGATAAGCCTCCTAGCCAACAAAGAGCAGAAGGCCATCATGCTCAATTGACACCCAGAAAAGGTGGCATCCACCGGAGCCACGCCAAAAGGTGAAATCAGAGGAGATGGGTGTATTGTTCTCCCACATATTCCAGAAAATGCCTCAAAAATGGACTGCCAAAAATTGTGTAGCTTATGGCACAGCCAAAACATGTGCAGCAGTGTGGCAGGAGCCACAACACCATTCAGTTTGACTCAGATACAAACACAAGACCTTACTGTGAACATGTGACCAGATAAATGATGGTTACCAGCTCAGTAGTCAGTACTCATCAACAAGACGTTAACAGTCCTTTCAGTCTTTACTTTGTTGTGGATATAAAAATATATGGAAACTACAGAACTTAAAGCTAATTTATTGTAAGTTGTGGCGAAGAGAATTAGCATTAGCAAGTACACTCGATCAACAGAGCGTCTGACAAAAACATTCTCATCTGTGGACTTGATTTGTAAATCACCTGCATTCATGTCTTTATAAACTAACTCTTTGGCCTGGCTAAATTCCTTTATTTTATGCATCGACATCCCAAACTTTCATTTTAATTGCCTAATTCTTCGGCAAGCATAAAGTCATTTAAAGCTCCCCAGTTGTTTACTGTTTAATAAACTTATAAAGTAGCAAAATTGAGCTTCACTTACACCTTAATGGATTAGAAGTAATGTTCTTCACATTAATTAATATAATACTTTAATTCTGTATACTGAGTGAGTTTTACTTCTAAAACTTTGAGTGCATATTAGTGACAATATCTCAATGTCTTTTTACTGAAGTTCTATTTTTATAGCAAATCTCTTCCTCTTTGTTTAACAATCTGAGTAACGCTGCGTTTAAAGCTCAGCGTGCAGCACTGTAATAATTCTGTAGTGAGAGTAAAGTCCAGCGCACCTTTATCATTGAACACAGAGTGGGGGGTGCACCGGTCCTGGAGATACTGCAATACCAGGTCGATGCGTGGAGTGGACGGAGCAAGCCCCTATTCCATCTCCCTGCTCCAAAAATCAATTTAATATATAGTCCCCGGGTAGGAGACGTATCAGATATTAAACTGATAAGAACAGATACTACACTTGATCTTAGCCAAAAGGCCGAGAAGCGATAACGTGATGACGTCGGAGGCAAAGGCCTCATTCACCGCACACTCACTTTCACTGAGGGTGGAAAAGCTGCGGGACACTTTAAGGACAGTCGGCAAATAAGAGCAGCAAAGGACAACGAGCGACAGTCGAGGAAAATGTCACGGAGTCGCTACAAATAATGTTATTTAGAAGAAAGAAACGAAAATAAAGTGGCGCCTCGACGCTTCCGGGTCACGTGGGGGGCCTTCTAATCCAATCAGAATTTAAAGCAGTAGACTCTCAACAACGCTACAATAATACAAACAACTGTGCGTATTTTACTTTAATGTTAATTCTAAGAAACAAAGAGCTTTCATAACATTACAGAGTCCTCTGCGGGTGAAGAAACGGTTTGCTTTTTACGACATAGCGTCTGTTTTCAGAAACAAATGGAGCTCCGACAGTCGCAAGAGACTCTGCTCCCAGTGTGACAGAGGACATGTAGAGACAGAGCTGCACTTTCTAACCTCATGCCCTAAATATAAAACACTAAGACAAAAACACTTTGCAAACATTTCCAAAATATACCCCGAATTCATATCACACAGAAACTCCCCTATTTACTGGGAGAAATGCCCAAATGTGAAATAATTGCTGCTCCTCATGCCATGAAGTGAGGACAACCAGTGGAACCTCAGACTAACAAATAACTGTACAGATTTTCAAATTATTATTTTGATCATTTGATATTTTAGTAATTGTTTTGATACTGATTTCTTTTCTTTTCTATTATTATTTTTTAATTAATTAATTTTTTGTCTATTAATATATACACACTGTTTCATTTATTTATTTTATTTTTTAAATATTTTTGTAGTTTTTTTAACACACACACACACACTTACTGTTTTGTTTATTTATTTTATTTTTAATATATTTTATTTTTTCAACACACACTTACTGTTTTATTTATTTATTTTATTTTAATTTTTAATATATATTTTTCTTTTTTAAACACATACGCTTTGATTACTTTACTTTACACTGGCTGCTTCTTTTACGTGAGATCAGATTTCTTCCTCCACTGGATTATAACGTATATAAATTAATTAATGCAAATGTTAACGGTCAGTGTTTTTATCCGATGTGACTAACTCGAAGTCTTCGCAGTGATTTATAACTAAGTTGAGACACTGATTAGGTTTTAATTGAACATCATGTCGGGGGAGAGCGCGAACGCAGTCCCCACTACCACAAATTATGCAGTTGAGATTCCCGCATTTGGGGAATTCACAGGCGTCAGCAGCAACCTGGTTGTGCAATGGTTGAGCCTCATCCTGGGTGAACCAATTTTCAATTTTTAGACGTTTATTATGTCCTTTACAAAATAAAATCATTCAAAGAATACAACAACATTCACCAAAAACAATAATATTTACATCTTTCCAGACGTTTCCCACTACAACAAATTAAACATTATCAAACATTTGTATTTTAGGAACTCTCCACATTAACAGTTTTCTTTTCTTTTCTTTTGTTGATTTGTCTTTTAGCATATAATCACTGAAGATGTTTAACATAGATCTTATAACAATTTCTTGTGGAACACAAATTTTCCTCATTACACATACATTTCTGGCTTTCCATAAACTTTCTTTTACACAGTTGATGATAACCCACCATTTTTTTATGTTATCTGTCTGATTTCTTTGCAAGGAACCATAAGCTATGTCCTCATAGCAACCAGGAGGTTTGTGCAAAGCTTTTAGCCATGGTGATACAAGTACCCAGACCCCTCTAGCGGCGGGGCATGACCATAAAAGATGTTGCACAGTTTCATTGCCACCGCAGGAAGGCCTAGGGCACTTAGCACTGCGGATGCAATTTCTCCTCTCAAGAAAGGCTCTGGTGGGCAAACACTGGTGAATGACTTGCCAAGCCAAATCTTTATGGTTATTAGTTAGGATAGAGTGATTGACGTTAGCCCATACCATTTCTGAAACCTCTTCCCTTAATTTGCCCACAGGAGTTAATCTTGAGTGGAGTGGGGACAGAACCTTTTCTATTTCTATTCTCGTGATTTTGTCGTATGGTACTTGAGATGCACCTTCTTTTAGACATGAAAAGACTGTCTCATACATTTTCGGCCATGTTTGCGCATATGGGATGGTTTGTGGTGGCCTTTTCCCCCATGATCTAAGCACACCCCGCCCCACCCAAAACAAGGCAAAATGAACCCAGCTTGGAGCAACTTCAGGCTTCAGACAGGCTTTAATAATTGGGGTCACAAACATAGACTTTAGTTTACTTTCCATATCAGGGACACCTTTTCCCCCCTTCTCTAATGGTCGGTACATTATTTCACATTTTAGTTTTTCATGTTGTCCATTCCATATAAACTGGAAAATAATCTTCCTAAGTGTCACCATAAACATGTGTGGCACTGGAAAAGTTGTTGCCAAAAAAGTCAAGGAGGGCAAGATGTCTGCTTTTATAACCAGCACTTTCCCCACCATGGTTAGATCCCTGTCTTGCCACTGTAGGAGCTTTCCTCTTATTTTGGGTAATTTTGACTCCCAATTGGTGTTTTCCATATATTTCCCTA